CCCCCCCAGGATGACTCGTCATTTCTCAGACAGCCCCACCCCCCCCCATCAACTCACCCTGCAGTAGTCGTTAATGGGCCGCAGACGCTTCATGGCCACGTCCCTGACGTGGCTCCTTCTGAACAAGATCTTCCCTAAAAGGGAACAAAAAGGGACACACAGGATGTGAGGTCATAATGTCCGAGTCACCATGGCGACACAGTAGCAAGAGTAACAAAAGGTGACATTTAAACCAAACAGATAAATGATTTAGCTTTACAAATTTGCATTAAAATGTAATACAAAATAATGTACACCTAAGAATCATTAATTAGGCTACTGGTAACATACATAACATACTGAACCACCTCGTTAGTACATTTTGTTTTAAGCGTTTTTGAGGCATTTTGCAGTTCAATTTGATTATGCCCCCCCCACCACCATATCACAAGCTGTAGTGAATGCATTTGCCTTTTTCATATTACTCGCGGTGTCTCGCACAATTGCATGCGCCTTGTTTACTGGGATTTTCCGCTAAACGCTACTTCCACCCCTGAAGGTTTTGCTTTTACAAAGACTGTAAATAGCTGTGCTACTATTTGTCGTTTCAAGTGTGACATACTTCTAGATCGTCGCCCTCTTATCTGATCTTCTCATGCTCCCCCTGCTGCGGAGGCTTTGCGCATGACATCACAGGAAGCGGAAGCCACTGCGCTCACGCCCACTGAGTGGCAAAAAAACCGAGTGGCAGCGTTTGCGTTCAAGCTTGAATGCCGCAAACACACAACTAAAACGGGAAAGAGCTATAGTGCGATTGATTGTGGAAATAGATTTAACAACGAAATAAGAGCTATGTTTTTAGAGACTGCCAAAGTAAATAAGTAAGTATCGGACATGGATCGGTCACGTATGGCCGATACCCAATCCGTCAAATAATACTCGATCGGTGCCGACACCGATCCGAATATCGGATTGCTGCATCTCTAGTTTTGGTGAAATAACACGAATAGATGGCAGCATGCAATTTAGCATTAGCAACACTTTTCTCTATGGTAATAAACGCAGTTTACTTTACCAACAATTATACTGCAGAGGTCAAGAAAAACACCCAAACAGTGTGACCATCTGTATGAGTCAGTGGGCTGCTCATCTGGGGGATCGTTACGGAAATAATGAGAAAATAGTTCATCAGTTTAAAAACGGTGACCACTTCAACCAAACAAAAGGCCGTATGTTTAGCCACATGAGGAAGCTTCTGGTGCTTCCAAACGCCAAGAAACAGATGCACAGATATTAAAACTACAATAAACCAGCTGTGGATTCTGAGATATTTAAAACCTCGATTTTTATGATGTTTCAGAAGAGCTTAAGTGAACGCAGACAGTGAGAGAGTATAGAATTTCATCCAACATAATGCTAACTCAATCCAGATATGGAATACATTCAAAACTGTGTCCTCATCGGGGGCTTACAGAATTGAGTAAAACAGTAAAAAGATGTGTAGTTCCCCCCCCCCACTGCTGAATGGACACTGCCTCCTCCAAATGCAGCTACAGGCTTCATAAAACACCCCCGATTCCAGATGTGAAGGACCCACAAGGCTTACATTTCCCACATTACAAGACAGATTTCATTTCCTGGACATCCTTCAGTGCAGTTTCCAGTGGTCACTATGGTAACCCGGGGGGTGGGCTGGGCGGGGCTGGGCCGGGCCGGGCTCTGGGGGTGGAGGGTGCATGAGAATGAAAGCAAGGAGGGGATGACAACTGAGGCGGATTTTTTTCCAGATAAGTGTGATGACAACCAGACTCCCCCAAGAGGCCCGACACGTTCAGGCTCCAGTTGCCCACACAGCCACCATCGTCGATCAGCTGCCCTGCACAAATCGGCAGTGTGCTCTCTCATCCTGTCAGAGTTTCCTTTCGCTTTTCTACATATGAGCAGCGCCGTTTCGGCCTCCAGTCGACAGCTCGGCTGGTCTGGAAAACGCAGAAATGTGGGTCTGACAGACCAGGCTGAACACATTCAAGAGCTGAGTGGTCCACTGATATACAGCCTGAGTTACAGTCACCTCAAAGATAAAGTTTAAAGGCCCAAGGGCTACGCTTTGCCTTGGAAACACAGTTGCCAAATTTTAAGCATTTTTGTTATATAGACACAATTGATTGTTAAAATTCACTGCAACAAACTCTAACTCAACACCTCTCAGTCTCTGAAAAGCCACCATGATCTGCACACTTGCATTTGATCCTGATGTCAGCTACAGGACAAAGGAGTAGTGATCAGAAGGTTAGTCTCCAGCCTCAGAAGATGATTCCTTTCCCATAGCAATCTACTTGAGCCAACCAAAAACAAATAAATAATAACAGATCATTTGCTTTAGGGGGAAAAAAAAGCTATACAACTGACCATAAATTACACTTAATTACTGAGCAGAGGCTTTTACCCAGTGACGTATAAGCGGGAAAGCAGTGTCAGCCAGTCTCTGGGCCAATCGGGTTTTAAGGGCCTCGCTCAGGGGCCCAAAGGTGGAATCAGCCTGCTGACTATGGGATTTGAACCAACAACCTTTTGATCACAGAGCCATGCACTGCCCTAATTCAACAGGAAGTCCACCAGAGGTTACGATGGATTTACGTTCCGATAAACCTATCGTAAGGTGAAAATATCGCTTTGGAAAAATGCATTTTAATACAGTACACCTAACCTAAGAAACATCATAGCCTAGCCTACTTTAAACAGGATTAGAACACATACATTAGCAGTTGAGCAAATTCATTAAGAAAAGGCCTATTTTATAATAAAGTATCTTATGTGATTTACTGAATAATATACTGAAAGTGAAAAACATTTAGCGAAATATCGTAAAACGGATCATTGTAACACGGGGAGCGTCTGTATTACGTCAGAGTTATAAATTCTCACGGCATGGTCATCATATCTAGGTTTATTTTGTCTCCATAGCATTTCACTTGAGTTTAGTTGAGACGCCTTGCATCCTGGCAGGACCATACCTATTTAAATAAATATACAAATTCAAAAAGCATAAGAAGATGCTGTATTTGTACTGAACATCGGTCAATTTGAGTCTGAGAGCACTTATTTTTAAGCAGAAAGTTTATTACAACATTTGGAAACTCATCTTTAATACGGCTATCATTTTGAGGGGCTAATTTTCTTGACGGTGCTTTCGAAAGCACTTGAGGCCGATTTTTTTCCACATCCATTCCAGTCACGAAACGTTCCGACCGGCTGTAATGAATACAGACGTCCAAGAAGCACTTTCAGAACGCAAGAAGAAAAACACGACACTAGCCGACAGTCTAGTGGAATACGACTCGATTCCATTTGCAAAATGAAAACGGCCAGTCGGTAAAAATGGCGTTAAGTTTATAGCTGCTATTCTCACATGTAGCATCCATACATGCTGGATTCTGATCTGCTGTGTGCATCTCGGACTAAAACAGCACTGGATTTCACCATCCTTAAACTGTACGCAGTATCACTGCAGGTTTCTTCACATCAGACTTTGCCAATTCACTGGAGTGTCTCCTAAAGGAAGATTTTAGCTTTGATGACTTCCACGGTCAAATATAACTAAGAATGATTGCGATGATCTTCCATCTATCCCCCTAACCAAGTACAGGGTCATGGAATTATTAACCGCTTACTAATTAAATTTACAGGTTACATATTATTAAACTGAACATCTGCCATTACTTAATGTGCCCCTGCTGTGTCCATAACTAAGCTAATAAATTTAGCGGCGAACGGAGGGAAAGCGTAGGATGAAAGTAGGCATTATTTCTTTAATTACGAGGGATTCGGTTCAAATTGCTGTCGGGCTGCTGACTCATTAACTTACGGACACTCATTAAACTCGCTTGCGAAGCCCCACTTACGTAGCTGGCGAGTAACAACCGCTCAGGCCTCTTTTAGGGACCGGGGCAAAATTACTGCATTCGATGGGAGACGCTGGCCAACAACTGACAAGACAAGGCACTGGATCGGATTGAGTTTTTGCCGCAAACTAAGCAGATCTGCAAACACACGATGGGCGAAACATGATGTGCAACAAATTAAAAAAGAAAAAAGGCTCAAATGTAGAGATGAGTTTTTTTCAGCTGACACTGCGTTTGCAATAGGCTGTAGAAGAGGTAAGGCCTACATTTAAGGATCTGAATTTCAGGTGAGTCATTCTTGCATAGACTGAGCTTAAGCAGCGTCTGATTGACATCTATCCAAGACACTGCGTCAGTGTATGGTGAGTATGAAGGAAATGAACCAGGTTTAAATCGTGCCCAGTGTGCTCAACTTTAGTCCCAAATCAGCTCGGGTTATTTATTTATTTTTTATTTCTACCAGTGAGACCTTCCGGATCCTTCTCACTGGAAATATTGAAGGAGGAAAAGATTTAAGGTGGCTTCCATTGTCTCAGCCGAGTGAAAAACAGCAAAACGAGACACACATTGAGAGCGGGGTCCCCCTCAGGAATGTCACCTACATTACCCCCCCCCCCCCCGCACCTCACCCACACTAACTCCTTTGAAGAACAACATGGTCTTTAGGGTGGGGTCACATTCTTCCAGAGAAGATCTTAAATACTGACTGAAAGCTGTTAAAGATGCTTTGCAAAGAGGCAATCTTCTATTCCAAAAAAAAATCAATTATGTATTAGAATTTAATGCAATTCAATTAACTGCATTTCAGTGGAAATTCTTAAAAATGAAGTCAATCCACTGCAACAGAAATTATTTAAGTGACGTACATCAGTAGTGGAAGCCAATGACCTTAAGAGCAAATCTGATTGGAGGTTATAGGACATGTGACCAGCTGTCAGACTTCCAGTGACTGTGCACCATCTCACTACATAAATGACTTAAGCCCTTTAAAGCCTGCCAGTGAAGCAACATGTACACAGTGTTCTTCACTGGTACTTTTTTTTTTTGGAACATTTTTCACTGAGCAGAAGTCCATCCATCTTCTGAAACCGCTTAATCCCAACTGGGGTCACGGGGGGGGGGACCGGAGCCTATCTCGGGAACAAGGGGCGCAGGCGGGAACCAACCCTGGGCAGTCGGCAACACACCGAAGGGCGCACACTCACACAAGTACAGCGCCAATGTAGACTCACCAATCGACCTATCCCGCACCCGGGACCGAACCCAGGACCTTCCTGCAGTGAGGCAGCAGTGCTAAGCACTGCGCTGCCCCAGTGCTAAGCACTGCGCCGCCCCAGGAGCACAAACTGGGATAATCCCTAATGAGCTCTGGCAAACCATACTGGCATGCGGCGCCACAAAAATAACCCCTCCTACCCCCCCTCCTTTTCCACTTGTTCTGCCAGTCCTGCACCCCTCATCCACCCCCATGGCACCCCCCAAAAACCTCACAACCTTATTGGTTATCCACTCTCCAATAACAGGCAATGTTACAGGAGTGGGGGGGGGGGGCGTCTTTGCTTGAAAGAAATATCAGCATCATCCATACAAGTCAAAAAATGAATATGATTCTCTCTCTCTCTCTCTCTCTCTCACACACACACACACACACACACACACAAAAACAGAAACACACACACACACACAACCATTTTTTCCACAACCTCAAAAACTGATCAGCATCCACCGGGGAGACCTCTGAAATAAAAAACGGCTTTCAAAACAATCAATTTTCACCGAAACATGGCCGAAACGGATACGCATATCTGGCGGATTTCATTTCAAAATGTCTCCTAGGAGGAGGAGGCCTGGCGGCCCATTCTAGCGAGGAGTCCGGCTCGAAGGGCCAAGCTGGCAGTGGTCCGGCGTTGGAGGCCCGGGGCGCTGGAAACGGTGAGATCACGACTTCGGGAGGTTCCAGCGGAGAGCTCTCGCTCGATTAACCGTGACCTCAGCAGCCTCAGCTCTCCTCCAAGCCGCATTGGCGAGCAGTGACCTTTGACCTTTCGGGCAATCGAATCAAAAGTCAACTTTTCACATCTTTCCCCATTTTGTCCCTCCTCGGTACCTGGCAGGAAGGGGATTATCCGCCGCTTTGGATCCTTCTGTCCTCCTTCCACGGGGAACTTATCCAGAAGCTCCATCTGAAATTGGGGAGAGATGAAGGTACAAAGGTCAGCCTAACGTCCCCCAGACTCATTTGAGACTCCTGCAACGAGTCACATTCTCCCGTTAAAAATGTTCCACTTGAAAATCTGCTGTGGATAATAAGAATTATTCAAAAATGTACATTGCAGATGGAATTCCTGGTCCATGTGCAAACCAGCATTTTTTTTTGCAGGAATGTTTGCATAGTGGAAAAGCTCATTCCCAGAGCCCAGGTTGCAGCTATCTCGCAGTGCACCATAGCTTATTTTACTATGCCCAGACTTATAAAGCACATCTCTAAAGCGTACCACCCGCACAAAACAGACACCCGCACCTGTCAGTACGCAACCTGAAGCTCTAATAGGGCCAATGATGTTCAGCACTCAGGATTCTGCATGTTGGGGTTTAGTATGGGATGTCGGAAAAACTTCCAAGAAATGATTCATAACCCCCAGGCCATAGTATGATGTCATACAGTGTGCAAGTTTAACAAAATATGACACAGAACAAAGAATCTGCAAATAATTCATATACTTTTTAACTGTAAACACATTGATTAATTAATGGTTTATTGCAGAGGTTCTCTAAAGGAGACACGTGCATCATCTGTGGTACTCAGAGCGCTCTGTCTCCCAGGTGGTACAAACGTGGTAATCTGTTACCGTGATTGAGGTATCGGATTTTTTTTTCCCCACCTGTATGGTACTTATCTGCTTTGGTTTGATATGAAGTGGTCCAAAGGTCCTCTCAGGTTGAGGTCAGGGCTCTGTGCAGGCCAGTTTTGAAAACCAGGGGTTTACCGAATTTGTATAAAGGCATTGCTGCCACTAGGTGGCGCAGCGGCTAACACTTCTGAGTCACAGCACTAGGGCTGCTGGTTTGAATCTCGTCTGCATGTGGGGTTTGCATGTTCTCCCCGTGTCAGATGGGCCTCATCCTGCAGTCCAAAGAAATGCAGTTTGGCTAACAGGTCAATCAAAATTGCCCTTAGTGCATAGGTGTGCGTGCCTTGCAATGGAATGGCATCCCATCTAGTGTGTGCCCCAAGTTAACTGGGGTCATTTCCAGGCCTCCCCCCACACCCCAACTAGAGTATGTGGTTAGAAAACGAATAACTAACATTTTGTTGTGTGGCTACAGGGATCATGTTGTCATTCAACTTCAGGAAATGGCTTTGGTTTCATTTTCTTGTCTGTGTAAATTGCTAACTGGCAGGTTCTACGGAATTTTACCATCATAGGACTCAAGATACCTTGGAGAACTCAGGGGATGCAATTAAATTACAGACCGGAAAGAGGGTGGTGCTCACTGAAAAAAAAAATCATAATATGAACTGGATGGAGGAGACCATTCCAAGAACATTCGCAGAGGGGTCCGCTAATGACTTGCAGGGAACTCAAATCTCTGTCCGTGGGCGTATAGTGCAGATCGGAACAGAAATCCCTCCTGCTGACATTAGGGGGCGAAACTCTTCCGAAAAATCTCTACTCGCATCACTTGCGATAGCAAAAAACATTTGAGGACATATCTTGACGGGGAAAACGAAACCCGCCGTGCCGTGTCATTGTTCCAACTTCAAATGCGACGCAAATACGTTTTCTGGTTCTAGAAAGATTTCCGTCGGAAGTGGCCCGCTTACGAGGCAGTGACTATGGCACAAGACAGAAGGCAGTTAGCTGTCAAAGAGCAGGATGACCATCCGGCGTGGAAAACTGCCCGGGAGAATTCGTAGTAACATTCCGAGGGAATGCCGGCCGTAGACAAAGGAGGAGCTTCCAGTGGAAAGCCGATCTCTCCCCTCGGCGTTTCTGGCAATCCGCATGGGGGGGGACTGCAGAGTCTGCAGCTGTGGTTGCGGCACGAGTGCGCCTTACTCCTTAAAAAAACTTTGCCGGAGCCAGGTGGGCGGAGCCGGTGGTGTGGGCGGAGCCGGGAGGGGCGGGGCTAGGAGGGGCAGGGTGGCAACCACCATGTGACTCTGCGGACGACGCAAAAGCAGAAGGCAGAGGCGAGAGGTGTGGCGGCCAGGAAGGAGGCTGCTGCCGTCGTCGTCGCTAGAGAGCACAAGGCCAGTCAGCGGGGAGTGGAAGTGATTTCATCTACGAGCTATAAATGGCCTCCGGTTGCTTAGCGATTCGGCCCGGAGACTGGGAGCACTGCCTTTGGCGCCTTCTTCCCTACTTCCATGCCATTACCAACCCCCCCAAACTACTGCACTAACACAGGCTGGGGATGAGGTGAAGGGCTTGGGGGAAATGTTCGTCTCCATGGTGAGCAACAAAAAAATTCCAGTTCATGGGCACATAATAGATGTAACAACTGTTCAAAGTCTATGCGCTTACATGAACGCAAAATATACATTTAGCTAATACCACCTCAGGCCTGAGAACTACAGTCAGATGCTGAGCACACGGTATTCCCTTTGCTTATGGCAAATGTGAGCTCAGTGTGCTTCCCTCTGGCCTCCGGCTCCCAGAATCCATTGCTGCAACTTCCGCTCATCCCCCATCCAGCCTCCTCACATGCCTGCTATGCGCCGCCCCACCAGTGCTCCACATCTACCTGGTTTGAAGTTTGAATTGAGGCCAACTGTTTCCTACAGAACTGGATTAAATAAAAGCTAAATGATACCCAAGTGTTTACTGTCAATGTGCCAGAGAGAAAAAAAAATTAGAAGCCTGCCTCTTAATTATAGCTGACCCGTCTGCCTTTTGTCTGAGCAGACCAGTAAACAACCCAACTTACTCTAAAGCCCATAAACAATCTCATTATTGCCTACTGTCAATCTGACATTTGTATCCTCCATTGTGTCCTGTCCATGTGTCAAACATTATTTCTCAGACATGCAATATAAAAACAAACAAAACAAAACAAAAGCCATAGGTTTTCCATTGGGACTCTATCTGATTATTTGCCAATCCTGCATAGATGAAGGATTGTAGTACAGGACTATGGGCACTTATGTGTGTTAAGAAAGGGAATTCCAGCTTCGGAAGTAAATTGATGGATGGAATTCCAGCTTGAAGAGCACTACACGTTTTTATAAACATATGAAGTCATATCTAAGGAAGACCATGTGTATAAAACAATAAGCTGTTCCAGACAAAATAATTGAAACAATACAAAACAATGTGTTTTCCTTGATAAAAGACGTAGAAACGAATCTGTCACTCTGCATACAATTAATTTAACAATTAAACCTTGTAGTTACGACACTGTATCTGTATCACTAAAACTTAAATGGAACTGTATTACTTAACGATGACACTAGACAAACCACAAGAATTTTAAAAACTGGATCGCATCGCGGAATGGATCGGAGACACAATCATGCCTGTTATGTCCACTGTCCTTGTGAAAAGCAACTCTTTCAACAGACAGATTCTTTTGTTTAAGTGAAGGTGTGCCAAGGCCTTGGAGTTCGGTGTACCGGGTCTGGAGAGACGTGTCTGAAGTGACAATACATCGGTGTTGTTTTACAAGAGACTAAAACTGCAAAGCAGTCCCGACAAACGAATCCAAAAGCTCTTATCTGGGAATGTTACTCTGCGAATGAGGAAGGTCAAGCCTTCTGCACATGACCTGTCGAACCTCACCCCCAGGATAGACAGCGTCACCCACAGAGAGCCATCATGCTTACAATGCATGAATAGCCCACCCCAGGGGAATTCTGGGAAGACGCAGCAATTTTACTGCAAGTCTAGAGGAATTCAGGGGAACCACACGGCTGTTATTGCAAAACTCAGTCTCATATCAAGGCTGCTTCCAGCAGGGGTTTGGGTTTGGGGGTGGGGAGGGCGCACAGGATGTACAAGCCACCAAACCATCGCAAAACTGCTCGCACCCAACAACCCTCACTGGAGTTGTTTAAAAACAACCCATACTATGAATAGCTTTTAGTTTATCTGGAAGTGCCTAATGGTTAAAGGGGATTTCTACCATGTATTACACATAACTGCCAAACAAAACCATTGGCAATGAGCGAATGATGTTATACACAATAAGGATTACCATAAGGTCCAAAAATAAACTAGCTAAGAACAGGAACTTTCTGCCACCTCTGTGGCCCGTCAGCGGGGGCATTTAAAATAGCTGATTTTCAAACAGAGGGGGCAGCGAAGGAAAACTGACCTTGCTGTTTAACTCCGCCATGGCTGGGGTTACCATATTTGGGGAGAGAGTGAGGAGGAGGCTCTGTCGCTCACGTCACTCGTTGACGGCACTCGTGAGCAGCATGACACGTAGGGATGCGTGTAACGTTTAATTTTTAAAGTAAACGCGTGTACGAGCCTCGTAAACGCTGCTGCCTATTGAAAATTGGTGCCTTTGGACTCCGCCGTGACGTACGGCTTGCAGCGCTAAACCCGGACAAACCGGCGATTTTTGAAAAGCCACCCAGACGGGGCCACAAAGAGAGGACGTGTGCTGGCAAACCGGGACGTATGGTTCGCCTAGCTATGGTGAGGGTCTGATGCCTAGAAATTGCATCCAGTGATACTAAACAAGGGCAGGAGACAGCAGGATGCTGGGGGGTCCCCCATTATTTGCATGCCCCATCCTCACATGCCGTCAAATGACACCTGGAGTCAGGGGTCATATCCAGCATATCGCCTAGTCACTGTGTAAATGTATTATGTAAAGCATAGTTTCTAGTTACTTTGAGTAGTGGCTCCATGGGGGGGAGGGGTAGATTTAGGACAATTCCAAGGGCCCCTAATTGCATTAGTTTGGGTTGGGGGCCTAATAAAATATGCTTTCATGGGGTTCAATATCTCTAGTGGCGTCCCTGACCATGTGAATGTAGTGTGTGATGTATATGTCTAGATAATGTGTAAATTTAGTACATTTTGTTGTGGCATATTGTTCAGTACCACGAGGACCAGGGAAATATATATGCATGTTGATGGACTAACAATAATGATCTCCTGAATCTTGAGTTCTTCCCCTGGTTCAAAATGCATCAGTTTGAGATGTTTTGTGTTGTTTTCTTTGGTGGCTCTGCAGACGGCTATAAAAACAGAAGGCAGCACTTATGACCCTCCCCCCCCGGGGGAATTCTGAGCATTCCTTTCCGTTCGCCGGTGTCAGACATTACTCTAATAGCCGAGAAGCACAAAGACGACGACGGCCGCCGGACTCACCGCCGGGGTCTGAGACGGCCCCCAAAGGGGAACACCGAAATTCCCAACGGTGACCCCCAAAATCCCTGCCAGTGTCGGGCACGTCCCGCCACCCTGGAAAGCGTGCTTCACTGCCGGCACGATCGCAGGCAGTCAGACTTTTTTCGAGATGCCGTACATTATATATATAATTGCTTCCAGACAGAAAATATTGCCAGGCAATGCAGCTGGCCGTAGGATCCAGATCTGGGCCTTGTTTACCTATACAGAGAGGCGCCCAACAGCCCGGAGCAGTAGCCAGCCTCCAGCGATACTCAATCCGGGCCCCGTTCCCCGATTACTGCACGTGGAAAATATGTGACAGCTGTGTATTTCGAAACAAAAAGAATTTAAAAAATAATAATAAAAAAACATATGGGGCAGTATTCTGCTAACACATCAAAATAAACTGCTGCTCATGAATAGCCAGCTCGCTCGAATGCGGTTAAGGACGGTATAACGAGGATTAGGCCTATTAGGCTTAATATGGAAACGTTACCAACATGGAAAGTACAGTATGTCAGAGCCGTGAGGAGGGTCAGAGAGCCAAAGGTTCCAGTTTGGAATATTCTCAAATGCAGACCTGCTTTCTTCACTACAGCAATCAATTTTCCATTTGATTTTTTCCATTTTTTTTTTAAATCAAGCAGATGCTTTTCTTTAAACTGACACATTTTTTGAGAAAGTAAGGTCAGGCAACCCCCAGACAACCGGGAATTAAGGGCCTTGCAGTGACATCACTCTGCCGACCCTGGGATTTGAACCAGCGACCTTCCGATCACAGCTACAATGCTGAGCCACACACTGACTCCCAATTTTCCTTGGTTCCCCCCCTCGTACTGACCTCTTAGGCAAACTTAAATACACATTTCTTGAAGCCGAGGGGGGCAGGGCGGAGGATCCTACTGCATAAAACGCGTCAGCACAACCGGCAACAGATGAACTTATGTTAAGTGTGGTTTTCAGTGTGGCGTTCACAGTGCCGGTCTCTCCATGTACTTAAAGGGAACATCTTTAGTCAGCAAAGATGTGCACTGGCAAGGAGCCATTGACATAACAGACTGCATCAGCTTCCTCAGTGTTTAAGCCGCATTCCTGTTAGCGGCATGACCAGGCAAAATAAGGCCCCCCTTTCATATGCCAGCCTACCGCTAAACCACGCCAGTCTCAAAGGCTGCAAGCGACGTCTACGTTAGCAAAATGCATGTGCGATAAGCAGATCGTCCTGAGTACCTCTGATGTGAAATATTTATTTGGTACAGTAAGAGATTCGATCCACTGATTAAAAGGGCTCCTGTATCGACCCGGGAGCGACGGTGAGACGTGTCGGGTTGCGTTTACAGCTAGTTCTGCCGCCGCAATTGTCGGACTGGGTCGTCCCAGCGGGGGCTGCCTCTCAGGATAGCTGCCAGGAAGGGGTGTGGGGCGACTGAGCATCTGAGGCGCTAGTCCGGGGAAGCAACCTCATATCTCACCGGCTTTAGGCCACTGGGCCAAAATCCACGGACAGGAAAACGACACCCGCGGAATGGGTCGCGCCGTCAGGAGGCCCGACCGGCTTCTCCCGGAATTACAAGTTACAAAAGGCATCCAAAACTGAACAACTCCCAGTCCGGTTCGACTTTCACAGGCCTCGCTTCGCTCCCAGGGATCAGAGTCTGGCCACGATGTGAGCCTGGCTGCAGGCAGCCTCGAACGCGCTGGACCGCTGCGGAGGTTCGGGTGCCAACGAGTTGCTGCGCCAGCAGGTATCCTGCATTTCATTTACGAGAAGGAAAATCCAGCTTTGGACGGCGCTTATATGGGTCAGTGTGACTAGGTAACCGTGGCCCGACTCACCGCCGAAACAGCACAACTATCTGATACGAGGCTTAGCTAGCTGCAGCTACGCTTTTCCGCCATCTTGGAATAACATATGTCTTGCCTCGCAACTTTGGCCAAATTACAATACAACAGGTAGAATACCTTTAAACTGCCATTGTGTCTCCCTGGCACAAATATACCCAAGTCCGAGAAGAACATCTGTGTGACATTTCTGAGTTTATTACCTTATAGGATATCGTATTGCATCTTAAAAGAGGAAAGGAGTGGTAGTGAGCTATAGCATTAGAACTCAATGTCAGGAAGGTCACCACGGTTCCGCCCTTGCGGTTCAGGTCCACGTACGTAATCCCAGCAGTTACTCGCTGAAAAGAAGGTCATATGGGACAATGTGGATCCGAAAAAATGCAAGCTGAACATTTACGCCAGTGCCTTTGTTAAAATATAATTGCAAGCGGAAAGTGAATTTAGGATTCCCCTGGGGTGCCAGAAGTTTCTTTTTTTTCCCCCTCCCCTCCCCTCCCACCTTCCCAGATCTATTCGCTAAGTTTTTCCAGAAACAAAAAGCTCACCTGCAAGTCGAAGAATTTGCTGTAACGGCGGAAGATGACCTCGGTGCTGCCATCGGACCAGGAGACCTTGATGATGTAAACCTAGAAAAAGTGGGCGGGGCAAAGCGTTAGGTTTGGTGAAGCCAGAGGCGAATAGCCGCAGGATGTAGCTGAACGTGCCGCGGCCTGGCCGTTTCCGCTGACGCCTTTCGGGGTTTGAGATTTACAGCCGGTTGTGAGACGCCCGAGTTCGCACAGCGCCGTACTTTCCAGAACTTGGTCTGACCCTCAGACAGGGAGTCACATTACCCTACCATAAGGATAATGTATATTACAGGCCCCAAACCTGAACTCCCATCTCCGTTTCAACCAGGCCTGTGCAACACCAGTAGGACAATGGGCAACTGTCAGTCATTTTATTCATTAGACTGACTGGACGCCAAGTTGGAAGTAATTAAGACTACATGAGGAGCACATTTCCAAAAGTCACTCCGTCCACGGGATATGATTTCACGAAAATATCCTTGCACTTCTGTCACTCTTGGAAATTCAATGAAATTTCTTCCTTGGATTACAGGAGGACTGAGTGAGTTTTGGTTCCCAGCACTGTAACTGTATGATGCACTGTATGATGAGGAAGCCTGACTAGGTCTGTAGATCACAAAAAAAAAATGGACTGAGTTTTTGTTTTTCAAACTTGCTCTTCATTACGTAGGAGCTGAGGAATACACTTGCTTTTTTCCCCTTAATAATTCTTTTTTTTCCCCACATTAACCAATTTTTACCTGGCAGACTGACAGCCTTCACAACAAATTTCCAGTGTAATTACGATTATAATTACATCAGTTCAGAGATCGGATAGAAACCCGAGTCACAGCTGAACGAGTTCCCACATTAAGGCCGAAAAATCTGGCATCAGAAGGACACTCGTAGCATACGATCTAATTTATCACCAGATGAAGTGGAAGGGCATGTCTAAACCTTCTTTACCTCTATCAGTTTAGCTACAGTGATGAATGCTAAAGGACAGAGATCACAGAGACCGCCTTCAAGCGCAGCCCCCCTGTCACCCAACCTCACTGCGTTTTCAAAGAAGTGCTATTATTTAACCGGTGACGCAAGAGCTTTTAGATATAAATACGATAAAAGCAAACATATTATTAGTTTTACTAGCTCTGATGTAAACAGGCGTCTGGTATCAGTAATTCTCCTGTTCAAAAATATATTTATTTATAATGTCACGAATGAGTGACGTTTCTGTCATATTCAAAACACGGAACTAGGAATTTCAATTTGAAATTATAAAGACCACTGTTGCGAAATAGTGGCACTGATGCACAGAAATAGGAAATGGAGGTCATGTGACGAGCTCTAACGTCAATCACTGCGGAACGCAGACCTCCTCGTGTCATCAGTGCATACAGACTTGTCACGCTGTCCCCGATACCGTGACAGACATCCTTCAGAATCATGGGATCCTTTCAACAAAATGTAGAACCCGCTTGTGCAATTAAACGATCAGCTTTGTTCAAAGAAGTCAGATGGGCACTGAGCTGGGAGGGGAAATGAACACAAACTTCAAGACTCTGTAATAAGCCACAGGAAATAGACACATTTAAATGGTTAAGCTTTCAATGATGCTATAATGTATCATTACACACCCATGTCAAGCACCTTGGGGTGACTGTTGTGAAAGGCGCTATATAAAAATAAACAATTATATTCAAAACATGTTTTTAAATACTTTCAGAAAAAGTACCGATTTGTACCTTTAGGGAGTACAATTGTGTGTCCCTAGGGCTGTACCCTCAAGGGTCTACCAATTGTACCTTTTAAGGTACAGAAATTAACTCTGAGGAACGTTTTGGTACCATTGGAGGTACAATAATGTTAATGTTTGTACCTGGGGGTACAAAACTGTGCCCTTTTTTCCAAGGGTAGAATTGCTGTAAAATATAAACAATTAATTGTTTACCACAATCATTTAAAAACAATATTGATGTATCGACGGGCAGGCTGCATCACTGGACAACAGTATTAACAGTTTTTCTTTGAGGCGCTCTGACACCGGAGACGGCGGAGAGGACGTCCTTCCATAGAGCTACGGATGAGGCGGGGAAGCTCACACAGTTGCCTACGGCGACGGAGTTCCCCACAGCCACTGCCCATCATCCCGAAGGCCACCCTGAATCTCACGGCTCTCTCTCCATACCGGCTTTTCCTCTTGCCTAATCTTCAGCCACCAGTGATCCAGAAAGGGAGCAACTCATCAGCTCGTCTTGGAAAAAAAAATTAGGCGCCGCTGGCCGTAGGACAAACACAAAGTTAAGAAGGGAAGCGGATGAAAAGCGAACGACGGGAAACCGCATGGCGATTGCGTCTGGCCGAGAGCTCCTGTTGGCTTCCGAGTCTCCGATCGCGGCCAGCTCCGGGCAGACGGTGCTGAAGGGGGCAATAAGGTCATCCAGGGATTTTTTTGGGGGTGGGTGGGGAGGTGTATCCGAGCTGGACACATGGGTTTGCCTTGGGATTATGGTGAGGCTAATGTAAGACATCCTTCTCTTCCCTATATCACACCTCTTTGGCGAAATGAAGAGACTGTCAAACTAACTCAAATAAAATTTTTCAGTTTAAATAGAAAGACTATACTTCGATGTAGACCACCACCCTAGCCAGCCGAAAATGAATTCTCCCTCCCGAGTCAACATGGTTAGACGTCCAGACCAGTAACAGCACTGCAGTCAAGGATTCAAGGGTGTAATTTATCACATATGCTAGGCATAGAGTCAGACTATAACCTAAAGTGAAATGCAAGGTGGTAAACTGCCATAATAAAAACAGCGAAAGCAAAAAAGACGTGAAAAGTAACAATATTATAAATATACAATAAATATGTACCATCAAACGTAGGGATTTCTGGGGCATAAAAGAGGTTTGTGAGAAGTGTTGATAAATAACCCTAAGTTTCAAAAAGCACACGGCACTGTTAACCAGGGAGAGCAGGCCGCCCACTAACCATAAAATAAAATACAATAAATAAAAATTCAGCACAACTTACTTAATACTTTAATGGATAAACATTAAACTAAGACTCATCTTACAATACGATATCGCGGAGTGTAATACATTTAACATAAGCTAATGATTCGCCATGAGATGAAGCGGATTACTTTCATACGTACAGGTTTACAGGCATGGTACTATCCCTGCCATTGTGGGCCAAGATATAACAGTTTGGTCATTATTCCACAACTCCTATAACAGTTCAGTTCGTAATAAATTACAGTTTCTTTATTAGCTTAAAAGTGTTTCCCCCCAATAGTACTGTCCAACCATAACCTGAACCAGCACGAAACTACTTTACCTAGTTTTCTTAACTTTGAGTAATTTATCCTGTTTGAAATTACAGATTTATTAGACTGCACTGAGTCGAAATGGCCAGCTCGGGTCCACTATTACAATATAATAGCTTAGAATCTAGATTATGATTGATGATTTTTTTAGTTTGATCAATTCTAATAAACCCAGCAAAAATACCGATTTACTTTAACAAACGTTTTGGCCACCAAACCACTGCATGACAAAGGCAAATACTGCTCCTGCTTCAAAACTAAGTCCAAAACCGGAAAAATAGAATAAAATGCCTCATGGGCGCTTTGCCCTGCAGATGTTGACTCACATGTGGCCCAAAGCAAATCGCCATCTAACCCCCTGCCCCTCCTGATACCAGATAATGGATGCCTTAAAACGCTACCCCACCATGTTAGGGCAACAGCCGCCCCCAGTCACGCCAGCAAAACCAGTGCATGGCTCCGTTTATTATATAATCAACATCCCGTTTATTACATTAAACCTTCCTTTGTTTCTGCGGTGTCACAGCGCGCCGACGTCTTATCGCTTTATTCTCCGTCTTACATCGCACTGGTGCCTACATGTAGTAGATACATCTTTTAAGCGTCGTCTACATTGTTAATATTACCATTTTGTTGTTTTTATGCCATTGACTTTATGGATTACATTCGTTTTCGCTGAAATTTGAAAGTGCAAGAACATGAATAACTGCAACAATAAGTTAGAAAAGCACGCCGATCACACATCTGGGGTCTAATTAATTAATTACCATAACTAATAAGTAAAACTTACATAGTGCTTGTTGGGAGTCCGTCTCTTTTGGACATCTTGGACAGTAACTTCTTGCACGGTCCGCCTGGGCATGCTGCAATCCTTCGGGGCTTTCGCTGCTTTAAAAACCAGAGTCCAGCTTCGCGCAGATCACGCCCGATTGCCAAAACTTTGCACATGCAGCCCCTGTGTCATCAATGGTGTGTCCGACCTTGGCTGGATCGGTACCGGCGGAGTGTCTGTCCCGAAATGGTCCCGTCAGCACGCGCGCATGCCGTGAGGTCCGCGTCGGACATGAATCCCCCTTTTTCTTTCTCCTTCTCTTCTCCTCGGCCGAGGTCGGTTTTGCAGTACGTGGATCGGCCTGCCCTGAACCGAACTCCCAGCCTATCCCAGCTCACCGACTCCAAATCTGATTTCGGGACGGCTTAAAGGAAACGTACTGCGGCACGGCGAAATCAACCAGAAGTCAACAATCGAGAAATGCGTCACGCTTTAACCTGGAAGTCAACTCTATTTTTAATTTGAACACGTAATGATTAAATTTTAATCTTGTGTTTTGTTATGTGCGATCAACTATTTTCCCCCCTTAAAACACCGATAGGGGGTGCCAGATTTTATAATCTCAGCATTTGATACTCATTAAGCTCGATTAGGTTTCCTCCAGGTACTTCGATTTCATCCTACAATAGCATGCGGTTAGGCTAGAATGCCTATAATATATGCTCTCCTGTATGCATGACCCCTGCAGTAGATTGTCATTCATTCAGGATGTTTCCACCTGACCAGCCAGTGACTCTTCAAGTGTTAGTTACTTTGCCGACAAGCACATCAGCCCATCAGAGCCTTCAAAGAAGCCATGCAGTTTACACAATGATGCTGATTTCATGTGGCCCAGTTCTGCACCATTCTGAGGACCTGCAAGGTATCAGTTAAACTAAGAGTAGTTTAGGTAGCCCTCTCGTGGTAATGGCTGATCTGTTTGCTCTGCTTCCACCGTTTGTTTTTCTGCGTGACATACTGGCCGTCAGCTGAAACGCCCGCAAATAGCCTCTGGCTGTATTAAATCACCCGTGTATTCTATATCTGATAGGACATTGTAGTTCCTGTTTTCTTATCTAATACTAGAACCATACAGTCTGGCAGGGTTCACCAGCTCAGCAATCCTTTGATCATGGGAGTTTTACTCACACAAAAATGTTCATGACCAATCAGATTGTAAAGGAGGTGGGAACAAAACATGTAATTGGTTGGCCCCACCTCCTCTAGTCGCTCGGACCCAGCTATTCTAAAATCTGATTGGTTATCTCTCTGAACCAATCATTTTTCGTTCCGCTCTGAACATTTTTGTGTGAGCCAAAGTTGTATGTGATTAATTATCTTGATGAGTTTCTTTGCGCCGATTTTATCCCAGTCACTCCACTGTTCCTTATGATTGGTTTTATATCACTTCTATCATACAGAAATTTCCAGAAGGGCGGAAAACTGAATGGAAAACACTGACTAGGGAATATAGAGAATAACAGATGTTTTGCACAATAAAATGCAGAACAATTTCTCCTCTTAGGAGATGAGTGGTGTCAAAATATTATTTTTGATTAGAAACTGGAGTGGCTGCATTTAGTGTACTGGATGCTTCCAGGTAACTGGAATCCTTAACTGGATGTTCTGGGATAATTCACCTGACGGAGTAAATCTCCACTTCTTCCATTATCTCACCCCCAGACTGTAAGCAAACCACCATCACATTTATAAAGCAATAGACCAATGTCCTTTTAAGGAATTTGCTCCTGTTGGCAAACATATACAGTGCAAAAAAAACTTTATTGTTCTTATTGTGAAGAAAATAAGCTAGAGGCGACAACAGTGTTATATAACTCCGTGTTTAATCACCATTAACAATTTATAACATACATGGAACAACCCATTATTGTGTCTGGAGGGGTGGTAAACTATCAGCATTCATTACATCACCCCCCTTTTAAGTGAATGGTACACAAAAGGAATTATGTCATAAAGGTATTTGGAAAGAGGCCCTTTGTAAAACAACAAGAAGGTGTATTTTGTTCTGATGAATTAAATGCAAATGTTGAACATGCTTGTAATGGTTTTTCATTGGTATTTTCATAATGTTTGTTTTCCATTTGGACTCACTTCCGATGCACAAAACGCTGAATTATTTAACTACTAATCTGTCGCTTTTATCCTAAATTAAATAATGTGGATTTTCTGCATGCTAACGTACGTATAAAAGACCACCCACAAAGCCATTTCAAATATTTATTTTTAGTCGTGTTTTTAATTGTATACGTTTATTAAATGTTGCAGGAATTTCAATCACAGATTAACTGCGAGTCAAAACAAAAATTCCTCCAAATTGTTCAAACTTCAATCTCTGGCAAATTTCAAGTGTCGATCTTTATTAATTACAGAAAGAATTGCATAACAGCAACAAGACAGCTAGTACAACACACAACAAATATACACGCATGTTTAGTTAGTTGTACAGATGCTATGGTAACGTAAAGCTGTTTATTGGAAGTTTCTATTGCTTAATATTGTCACTGCTTTAACTGACAGCCCATCCAGGGTCTGACTCTGCGTTATGCCCAATGCTACGTGGCGTCAGCTTCTCTCCCGTTCACAACCCAGTCCAGAATCAGACATTGGAAGATAGATAGATGGTTACTAGTGTACGCATAATGGTTAACATTTTTATATAAAACAGTAGGTTGCCTGATTAATGGGTCCAGAAGCAGAATGATCTTCATGACAATATAATCTAAGTTTCAATGAGTCAGAACATAAGCGTAAAAGGAAAAAGATAATACTGTGAAGTGAAGAAAGTAAGATTTGTTAGTTAATTTTGTTTGGTTCTGCTAAAGACAAATCGGTGGCCTGTACTACGAAGCGGGTTTACTGGCTTATCGGGGTAACTTTGCGAGTAACTTGATGACGTGTGGTGTAACTTCGCGATTAACCCGTACTACGAAAGGTGGGTAAGTTATAGTCGAGGCATGTTGCCATGGCAATTTACGCTAAGTCTCAAAACTGCTCCGAGCAGTTTTTGTTCTTGGTTAAGTCGAGGTTTCTGCGTAAGCCAGCCCTATATGAGCACCGCCCCTCCAACTACAATTTCTCCGAAGACAATGCCGGCGTACCTGGATGATCCGTATGACATTGGCACGCGAATCGTGTGGGGCTCTCTCTGTTAATATGTATGAAATGGAGCAATGGCATATAATATGCATACAATGTATTAATTAATAACTGTTAGATAGAAAGTTAAGC